TATACAACGCAAAGGAAGGATATGCTAGTCATGTCAGTTTTAAGCAAAGGGAAAACTAAATTGGCCCATCTAACTAAAAGGCTAGTGACATTATGGCCTCAGGCTCAGATGATTCCAGTGATTTAAACTCAGGCTCCTTACCTAATATCTCCCCTCTGAGCTCACGTTCTCATGGGCTGCGAGGCAGCATCTCTGTGTTCTGAGTCCCTTCATGGGTCGGGTTATGGCTACCATACTATGTCTGCTGTCACTTAATTCTTTGCAAACAATTGCCTCAGGCACAGCAATAGGACTTTCTGCTCATCGGTGAAGAACCTTAACCTTGGCCCCGCTTCCTCGGGACGGTGTCTGAGTTACTCTTCTGCTCCTGTAGGAATACACCCTGACAAAATCAGCGTACAGGAGAAGGGCTCATTTTGGTGTAGAGAAGACATGGCAGCAGGCAGGGAAGCCTGGCCGCAGGAGGCAGAGTGAACAGGAAGTGGAGCCTGCTGTAAAGTCTCTGGATCTCTCCCCAGTGACTTACTTCCTCTGGAGAGGCTCCACCGCGTCCTGCTCCACAACCTTCCTAAGAGCGCCGCCCTCTGGAGACCGTGTTCAAACTGGGTGCCGTCAGACCACAGTTGACACAGTGTGGGGCAGCCAGCCCATGGGGTGTACAGGCGCAGCACAGCCCTGCTTGTGAAAACGGTAACTGCAGTTCCACTGGCTGCTTTGGGAAGCTGTTAAATGTCATCAGCACAGATGAGACTTAGCTCTCAGCTGATTTCTGTTCTCAGTCAAATTGCCACACAAAAAGGTAATCAAAGCTGGTATTTTTATTAGGGGTTTTCAAAGTTTGCACCCAGCAAGCCTGTACGCGCCTATTAAATACAGATTTGTAGAGTGAATTGGTAGTTATATTTATGGTGCCTTAAAAACTGTTTACTGACATGATCCAGAAGTTTATAGTGCACTTTGATCTCACCTGTCTGGCTGGTATCCTGGCCATAAATCTATTCCTGAGTTTCTACAGGACGCTAATTAACAATGTCCAATGAACAGAAGTGTTTCCAGAACCACTGGTTTAAATGGATGTGAGTGTGCCAGCAGCAATGCAATGATCACATGTGCTGTAAATACCAAGCAAGGCCTCCCTGGCTGTGCAGTGCACGCCCCAGAAGCCCTTGCAGCACTGTCCCAAAGGATTTGCTCACAGAAATAGTGCCGTCTGGTTAGCCTGGCATTTGAAACCTAGTTAATGCTGAATCTGTCTTAAGTACAGGAGTCAGGATTTATCAACCTTATTGCACAATGAGGCCTTTGAAGACTCCATTTCAGGATGAAAATGCCGCAGTATCCGCACTGACCACAAAATAACAAGGTCTGTGATTGCAGAACAAGCTGTATCTGAACTTCAAAAAGGACACATGCTGGCAATCGCTAGGACTCTAGTGGGGACCGGTCCCGTGTTCATGGGAGAGTCCAGATGCAGCCTGCCATTAGGAAGTCCAAAGATCGCATGCTGGCATTTCTCAGAACCTGCCTGATTTATTCATGCAGTACTTACTAACCCAGGGTTTGCTCCATCCCAGGGTATATCTGGCTCCATCGCAGGGTATATCTGGCAGTGGCTTAATTCCGTGTACAACTCAAATTCTCAGTTCAGTTTCAGCTTTAGTCCGCTTTTCCCCGTTGTCAAAAAAGGGGGGGGCTATTCCACTTCAAATAAATCATCATTGTCGGGCTGGAGAGAGCTGGCTCAGCAGTTAGCACGGAGCACTGGCTGCTCTCACAGCCTGAGTTCGAGTCTTACACCTGCGTGGCAGCACACTGCCATCTATAACTGCAGTCTGAGGGCTCCAATGCCCTCTTCAAATGGGCATGCATACATGCAGACAGAATGCCCACATACACAAATATATAAATGGTTTTTCATTAATCGAATCACTGTAATATTTAAGGGATTTTTTTTTTCCAAATAGTTTCCAGTAGATCTCTCATACACGCTACAGAGTTCTGAACGGTAGCAGCAAAGAAAGACATCACATGTTAAACATGAAGGATGAAAGTCAGCGCTCAGAAAATTCATTTAACCCACTTGATAGCATCTTAAGAATTTTACCAGTAACCATTACCAATAACTACTATATAGATCATCCTTTTTTCATAGATCCTATCAATTAAAAGCCTAAATCCCTGCAGTTTGCTTTTTTCCAAAAAAAAAAAAAATGTTGCTGATTAATTGCTCTGGACATCAGAACAAGTCGGAAGTGGGGTGCTATCCCATGTCATTCTGTTGACCTCCAGGGTTGATTGGGGGGGGCACACTATGCACTGGGTAGTCTTGGGATAGTATTCAATATATAAATGTCATGTGAAAAGAGTTATATGGTCACATGATCTCTGCAGTTTTGTTCAGGCCATTGAGGGTGCTAATGAATTACAAATAGCTTTTTACAAAGGTGTTTAAATCACTGCTGCCTCCAAATCAGTACAGTTCCTGCCCTAAACTGAACACAGAGCACCTTGCTGTGTGGGCAGTAACAACACTCAGGCACTTATCTCTTGATCTGAAGAACCCCATCCTAAACTCTCCGATGCATTAGTAAACCTTGACAAGAGATACAGGAATGTCATAATATATATTATACTATATATTATTATATATAATATTCAGTATTATATATTTAAGAAGACAGAGCAAACCTTTCGTCACAGCACTTGAAGGGCAAAACCAGGCAGATCTCTGAGATCAAGGCCAGCCTGGTCTACAGAGAGAGTTTCAGGAATCTAGTCTCAAAAAGTAAAAGAAAAGGGGAAAAAAAAACGCATTAACTAGAAATAGCCCAAGTGTTAAGTAAGCATTAGCCTTTATTGAAAATAGGTAGAGCCGAGTTTGATTACATAAGTCTGTAATTACATAAGTCAGCACCAGGGAGATGAGGGGAACTGTGAATTCAAGGCCAGCCTGGTCCACAGATCTAGTTTCTGGTCTACAGGGAGATCCTGTCTCAAGGGAAGAGAGAGGCGGTGCGGGGGGAGGGAGCATGGTTTGAGATGTCTAGTCAAGGAGGGGAAACAGCCCCAGTTAGGACAGATCTTAGAGTGAGATGCACAGCAAAGGAGCAGAACAGAGGCACCTTCTTAGCTGTCTGCTATAGTGTTCTAAATTTTAGAGGTATATGTCACTTCAGGACACACACGTGTGCATACTGAACCTCGCAGTCACCTATACTTGTGTCAGAACGTGAGTGACAGAATGTGAGGACAAGAGTCCAGAGCAAGAATCAGAAGTACCCAGTGGACTTGGCCGTCTCTCTGGTGGCCTTGAAATGAACAGAGTCAGAATTCAGTAGATTGTTAAGGGCAAAGCCAGCTTGTGGCAGGCACTTCATCCATCATGGGTCCCGATGTAGTGAGTGGTGTAGGGCAGTTCTGAAAAGTTCTAAAAGGGAAGTTTTTAACACACACTGCCACATGCTATGAGTTACTGGTGACCAAAGTATTCCGTGCCGCAGGTCATGCGCACGTGCTTTGTGTGGACGAGAATTGCTTGGAACAAACGTCAGGTTATCTGGCATTCCACACGGTGAAGGCTTGTGTAAGACAGGATTGGGTCATCATTGCTCCCTGGACTGCAAGACTCAGGAGCTCCGAGATCATTTGGGCATTCCTTTTTTTTTTTTCCTTTTTGGTTTTTCGAGACAGGGTTTCTCTGTAGCTTTGGAGGCTGTCCTGGAACTAGCTCTTGTAGACCAGGCTGGCCTCAAACTCACAGAGACCCGCCTGCCTCTGCCTCCCGAATGCTGGGATTAAGGGATTAAAGGCGTGTGCCACCACCACCTGGCTTTTCAATTGGGCATTTCTGCAGGATCAAACTGTATTCTTTCAAAATGAAAGTCCTTCCACTTTGCGTACCGCCTCTGAACTCCACTTGCGATATCTTCCACCACAAAACTTTCGATTTTTATGACCGGAATCTCGAACGTCTTATATCTCACATGGATCCCCCAGTCGTGGCAGCACTTCTGTATGGCACAGAATATCTTTGCTTTCTTCTCAAAGCTGTCATAGATCTTTGGTTTAGGGTGTGGCTTAGACACAAAGCACTCCTTAAAGCCATTTCCAAGCACAGTGTAGTGGGATTTCTGTGAGGAAGAGATTGAACACAAAAGAATATTAGAAACGGTTCAAAAATGGCTTAAAAGCTGCTCAGTAGTCAGGGGGAAGAGTGAGCGGAATCCCTTTATTTTAGGGATGGAAACAAAAGAGACTCTGGACAGAGTCACCTGCAGGCCAGAGCCGGATCCACGTACTGGGCTTCGTGCACGGTTAGGGGGAGGTGCAAGTGAGGTAGTACTGAGCAACTAAGAAGAGGGTACAAGGTCACCAGAGGCCAGAAAGGCACAAACAAAAGCACAGGTATGAACACCCAAGGGCCGGTGTGTGTGTGAAGAGGCTCGGGAGCTGGACTGTCCACGGGCCCTACTTATAGTTGACTTAAGCGTGTACCCTGCAGAAACAAGGCAGACCCAGCATCCCATCCGCCAGGGAAATGGTGTCTAAAGAGTCCACTGTGAACAAAACAGCATTGAAACTGGAGCTGAAGAGACCTTCTACATCTAACGGATCAGATTTAGAAAATGGATGTCACTTGTAATAAGTAATACGCTTCTAGTCCAAATGGTTCCAATAACCCATCCCCTAGCTAGTCCAGCCATGCACCACCCTCCATTGGTTGCAGCAAGAATTATACCAGCATTCATCTCTGGAGGTTCTGTCAACCTGTAATTAAAAGGTTTTTGTTGTTTGTTGTTGTTGTTGTTTTTCTGAGACAGGGTTTCTCTGTGTTGCTTTGGAGCCAGTCCTGGAACTAACTCTTGTAGACCAGGCTGGCCTCAAACTCACAGAGACCCACCCGCCTCTGCCTCCCGAGTGCTGGGATTAAAGGTGTGCACCACCACTGTCCCCAGCTGTGTTACATTTTTTTAAATAAGGTATTTTGTTTTCATTAGAGAAATGTTCTGTGGAGCTGGGTAGCAGTGGTGTAAGCCTTCAATCCCAGTACTTGGGAGGCGGAGGCAGGTGGATCTCTGAGTTCGAGTTCACTCTACAGAGCAAGTTCCAGGACAGACCAGGCAACACAGCGAAACCCTGTCTTGAAAACCAGGGGAAAAAAAGAAGTGTTCTCTGTCCCAAAAAAAGTAGTTTCGAAAACCAAATAGGAAGAAGAAAGAATTTCTTAACCAGAATATAACATTTTTATATACTTAGTCTTTATCCTCATTTTTTTTCTTGACGAAGATGGACCCACGCTGGTGAGCAGACCAAGGAATTGCTGCTCGTGGTACATGCAGCCTCGGGAAAGCATCTTTATAATTTTGTATTCGGTTTATTTCCCACTGCACCATTAGTTTCCTGGCAGGTTTTCACTCTACCATGTGTGTTTCAAAATCTCAGCCTAATTGTTTCTTTGGTATAGTTCCTGACATATGGTAAGGTTGCAGAAAGGGCTAGGAAGATTCCTGAATGCCTTTAACCAAGTTCCGCGGAAGCACACAGTTATATGCGTTCACACATTTCCTAAGCTAAGAAGCCAGCACCAGTGCCTTTCTTTTCATTACAGATTTTTATGACTAAGCCTTTATTTGTCCCAGGAGCTGGTTGAGGACACAGCACTGCATCTAGCATAGCCTTCCTTCTCTACAGCCGCACGAAGAAACTATTTCTTTGGAGAAAGTGGTGGCGCACGCCTGTAGTCCCTGCTCAGGGGAGGCTGAGACCCAGAAGAGTCGCAAGTTGAAGTCAGCCTGGTCGACATAGTGAGACTGTCTTTCAAAGGGACTTTCTTATTTTTATCTAATAGACACATAATTGTCCATATTTATGGTATGCAATGTGATAATCTGAGCATGGAATGATCACATCAGAGTAGTTAGCATTCCCTTCTGCCTGAACAATTTGCACCTCTTCACGTTATGAAGCTTTGACTTCCCCTCGTCTGATTTGTTTGGAATGAATGGGAAACAGTGCTTGCCCTGGCGTGTGGGAGAACCCTAACCCTTATCCATGTGGCCCAACTGTAGGGGCAGCTGTAATTAGACCTCCCTCTCCTGCCTAGCCTCCAGCACCTCTATTCCACTTTGTGCTTCCATGATAGCAGCTTTTCTGGCCCCCACACAAAAGCACAACTTTATTAATACAAGGCCAACAATCACAACAGAAGCCATAGTGTCCTAGCTACAAACATCTCTCCAGGAGATGAGACGCTTTAACGGGTACCCGAGACTGCCAGGACCGCTCACCTCCACCACTCGGATGTCAGCCGTGTAGCACGCAAAGGCCTTGCATTTCCCACACAGCAGTTTCTTATTTTCCTTATCAGGGGCCGGTTGAGGCTTGCGTTGACTATCTCTGATGAATTTTTCATCCAACTGTATACGTTGAACCTACATGCCAAAGAAAAAGTCTCTTGACTGACCATAAGTAGCACACGAAGGTAAATGCACACAGCCACAACACACACGCGCACACACACACTCACCCAAATATAACTTCCATGAGCATACAACTCCTATTCGTACTGTTTGGTTTGTAAAAGTCAATCTTGTAATTCCTTTGGTTCTCTGAACTCTTTAGTCATCAGGGTTTAATCCACCCTCCATTAATCTTTTCGTTACTTTCACAAACATGCCCGTCAAATAGGCCCATGAGCCATGCTTTCTACTTTCTACAAAACCATAAAAACCCTTCACAAATAGACCTATCATAGGCAATGCTTCAGGCATAAGCCGAAGGAAGGGACCGAGAGGAGAAATAGCCCTCTGCCTGAGACCTCTCCTGGAGCACAGAGCATATGGCTGAAGTCCAGCACAGAAGAAGGCTGGCACAGTGCAGCTGGATTCTAATTCCGAATGTCGACTGGCCGAGTAGAGAAAGAATGGGGCATTATGACAAACCAAACGAAAGATTATGAAGAGTGAGGAGACGGCGGACCGGCCAGAAACACTAGGGTCCTGGGAATGACATGATGGTGGGCTCCCTGGGTTTTCTGTCATCTGATATGAGCAGACTTGAAGCCGAAGCGGCCGACATCAGAGACGCCCAGAGGTAGAAACAGAAAGTCCCCCAGAAAAGGCTGCTGTCCCTCAGCAAAGGACCAGAAAAGGGCAGCCTCACCAACAAAATCTTTAGATTTTTAGAGCCTAATGTTTAGACAATATAACTGTCATCCTCCCTGGGTAGAGAGCGCACTGGGGCCCAACCCCTCCGTACCTGTGCCAGCACAAGGAGGAACTAATATTTCTACTTTACAAAGCTAATTAGGCCCCGCTTATCAGGATGAAGCCGGGGACTTCAGCCCCATTTATGAGAAGACCCTATGAGGAGACAGAAACCCCCTCTACCCAGCAGTAACAAGGATGTCCCTCCCCTTGCTCCCATCAGAGGCTGCACACCTGCTTCCACAGGGGGGGACGAAGCAAGGGCCCTACCTCCTCACCAGAGCCGAGCCAGAAGCCAGCTAACAGACCAGGAACGGTCACAGTCTCAGGAACAGAAACGTCTAAGTTGCAAACATCTCTGTTGTATCATGAAACAGAAGACCTCACACTGAATGAAAGTGACAATCAGTGATGCCAATGCTGAGATGGTAAGAATTACGTGGTACAGAGTTTAACAGCCAGGTAAAAATGCTTCAATGAATGATCGCACACATTTGATTATGGAAAAATATGCAGGTTCATAACAACCCAGACTAAAAGCTCAACAGATGGATTGGACTAGAGGGAACCAAGGGGCAATTGTGAACTAAAAATCAGAACCAATGCTGGAGAGACGGCTCTGCAGTTGATGACAAGGACTGGCTGCTCTCTAGAGGACCTGGGTCAGTTCCCAGCATCCACACAGCAGCTGGTAACTCTCTGGAGCTTCAGTTCCAGGGGATCTGATGCCATTTTCTGGCCTCCTTGAGCACCAGGCATGAGTAGTTGATGCACGGACTTACATGCTGACAACACATGCATATACACTAATACTATATATATTTAATGTATATTATGATATATATGTATGATATATACACATACATATATATGTATGTATATATAACTAGAACAAATTACCCCAATCAAACCACACAAAGAAAACAGACTAAAAAACTGAAACAAAATAAATGACAAAATAAAACAAAATAAATAAACTGAAATAAAAAAAAACAGACTCTTTGGGACACACATGACTACTGAAGAATTTTTTTTACATCTAACATCTAATGTCATTAGAGTCCAGAAATGAAGGAACAGGATTTGGAAAGTCAGAGAAATTATGGCTAAATAATTACGAAATGTGGAGAACAGTAAGATCTTAGATTCACAAAGCCAACCAAGCCCCAAACGGGATAAAGTAAAGACGATCACTCCAAGGTACATATAATAAAACTTCTGGAAACACAAAATCTCAGCAGCAGGGAAAAAAAAATAAGAAAAAGGAAAAAAAAGGGAAAAAGAAAAGCAAAGCTACTATCTCTACAAAGGAAAAACAGTCTGAATGACAGAATGACAGCAGGCAGTTCTCAGAAGCCACACAAGCCAGAAGGAAGAGAAACAGTTATTTCTCGAATGCTAAAAGGTTTCTCGCCCATGGAAACCGCCTGGTGGGGAACACCTTAGATATCCAATTCTCTTTCATTCACTTATACGCAATGGCTTTTTAAAATCATACACTAAAATTCAATTAAAATACTAGTCATCTCAAGTATCTTTGTTGTGCCCAGAATCTGAACCCCCAAAAACCACCATTAGACCAGATCAGATGCAAAAGCAAAGAGTTTTTTAAATTTTGAGTTAACTCGGGTCCTCTGTCCATCTGTTGGACACAGCGGGTGGAGTAGAGAGACACCGAGCTGCTGTAGGGCAGAGGTCTTCAAGTTGCATAGTAACAGTCTCAGGATTGGTGCACCTCCGGGCCAGAGGAACCTGTACTGAGCTGATTGGTCAGCTGCAGCTGTGGACAGGTTGCTATACCTGGAGGCCATCTGGGGCCATGGCTATGTACATCCAGAGCCCGCTAACTTCTGATTGGTTTCTTACCACATGGAGGATACCTGGTAGTTTCTTCCCAGTAATCAGGGCAAGGTCGGGCCAGTGGGGGGAGGGGGCTCAGTACACCCTGCTGAGTCGGGAGCCTACATATTGCTGGGTCTTTTCTGCAGTCTGTAGTGGATGCCAAAGCTTGGGGGGATCAGTGCTGGTGAGGGGCTGGGCCCCTCATCTTAAATGTACTGTTGGTAATTGCTCTAAAGTCTAATGAGTTAAAGCTGCTACTACCGTAGTTACAACTTTAAAGCAAACAGCCGCAACTGGTGGAGAGGCCACCACGGCACTGCCCCACACAACCCCACACCAGTGGTTGAAAAGAACTCCACACACAGGCAAAGTCGGTTTCTTCCCTCTGTATTGTGAGTTCCAGGGATCAAACTCAGGCCACCAATCAAGCTTGGTGGCAAGCACCTTTCTCCACTGAACTGAGGGCTAAAGTTGTATTTTAAATTTAAACGACTGTGCTTAAGAGAGCTTCAAAACAGAAATGCCTCTAACCTGTAAGCCCTGCTTGCCCAAGGACAGATAACTTAGAATGTTGGAGGCCTTTGTTCAGGTTAGACAACAAGCCACGTGTTTTCACTTCTGTAAACAAGCTTGGCTGCCTCAAATGCACAGGATGTGCTTGATCACACCTAGGGAGGTACATAGGCAGGAAGTGTGTCGGGACGTGCGCTTGCCCCCCTTGTACGAAGGCAGGAAGTGCATCGCCTTTCTTTATGCATTCTGTGGGTTTTGCCTTTATGCATTCTGACTAATGTAATTCACAGCCAATTCTCTGGAGATCCTGGGTATGGACCTGGCCAGTGCCCACCGTCCTGGCCAGTATTTAATAAAGCTTGCTTCAAATTTAGCTCAAAAATTATAGTCGTGTTCTTATTCTCACCTGGTAGGATTAGCATGAGCCTTCATCCCCTAAAGTGAAGCCCTTGCAGCAGTTGTGAGCATATAAACCATGCCGGAAGTCCTTCCTTCAAAAGGAACATTCATGTCCGAGCTTGGCCCCATGAGGAAGGGAACACAGGCTTCTTCATTTCTATTTCAGATTACCCTTTCTTTGTGCAGTTTTAACCAAAACACCCAATAATCTCCACACTGTGAACCACCTGAGTTACCATCGTGTCCTGAACCTTCCATCATAGACACGAGTTCTTAGCTTCCCTGGACTGCACACGTTGGGCCGCAACATGGTAACCAGAGAATTCCCGGGAGCACAGTGGTCTCATTGTACCATCCAACATGCAACCTCGTAGCAAACTATGACTCAAGCCAATTTCCAAGTTCAAATCCAGGTTCCAAGCCCTCATTAAAACCACAAAACCACATCACCCCAAGAACCACATCTTTTTGTTTTTCTTTTATGGCATTTTTCACACAGAGCTGTCATGCCGTTCAGTTCTTATTGCCATCACCCACACTGAGTTCCCCCTCATCTCTGGGTGGTCTTCCTCCCCCGCCTCCTCCCATATGTCCTCCCTTTCACATCCCATGAACTTGATCACTCCCTTTTATCTCTAATTCCAACAATTGAGAGGTAGAAACAGGAGAATGTAAAGTTCAAAATCACCCTCAACTTCATAGCCAGTTCAAGTAGAAAGCCAGCCTGAACTACTTGGGACCCTCTTAAAAAAATAACAGACACACACCATATACATACACACTCACACACACCACACATACACTCATAGACACACTACACACACATAAACATGCATACACACATGCACACTCACAGACTCACACACACCATACACATACCATACACACACTATACTCACACACACAGAGACACACACCACTCAGACACATACACTCACACGTACCATACACACACTCTCACACACCATACACACACATGCACATAGACACACACACCACACACATACACTCACACACACTATGCATGCACTTACACACCATACACACACATGCACACTCACGTGCACACTCCCTACATATGCACACACACACCACACACACACTCAGCACCAATCCTGCTCATTTATTATTTCTAGTCAGATTCCAAGAGTAGCCCAGAAAAAAAAAAAAAGACTTACTGTTTTCTCAAATTTCATTTCATCCCATGTCTGAAGCATTGAAATGGATTCATTCATTATTTTTTCCTTGAACATGTTCACCTTTTCCTTCTCAATGACATCAGCATTGCTGGTCAGGAGGAAGCACTTGCTGTCTCTTGCTCTTCCCCTGCCTGTCAGAAAACATTTGGTTTGTACTTGTGGATGTAAAACCCTGGTGTGACATGGAAACAGACACAGAAGTGTGAGAAGTATCCCTAGAACTCATCGCTGATTCACGGCACCCTACTTTCTAGGGACGCTGGACTGAGGAACCCACTCGAATGCAGGCTCCAGTCTGCATGGTAAACATACAGATGAACCAGAATCCACCTGCAGCTCACTTTCTTAAGATCTCCAGTGATGCGCTGTGATCACAGCCGGATTATTAGAAAACAGATTTCGAGACAATCTAAGTGGGTCCTCAGTGACGACACCACAAGCACTCCCACCTGAACCCGCTTGCAATGCGGAGAGAGGTTTATAACCCCTGGGATGCAGGGGAGACACTCAACGCTGTTGCAGAGACAGTCACGGACATCTGAATGAGAGATTATTCTGGCCGAGAGAATTGGGTTACGTGCAACGGAGACAGAAAAGGATATAAAATGCGAAGCAGCAGTATGTGAGCAATTCGGCATTAGTAGGCAGAGTCTGGTTGGCTGAACTGGATCATAAGCCGAGGAGAAGGATGAAAAGGAGGTGGGAATAAGGAGCGACACACAGAGACGTTGTTAGCAAGGGCAAAGTGGAGCTGTTCTTGGGAAAGCAAGGGAAAGGAGGGGAGAGATGGAAGGAGCTACTCACCACAACCATGAAAGGTCTACTTGCTGAGTGGCAAAGCCTCAGGCTGAGTGGATATCATACTTTCATAAATGTGCCAGTGAATGCTGGGCATTAGGCAGTACCATTGTGAAGGGTCGCAATGGAGCACTATGGGTAAAACTATAACCACCTAATCCTGACCAGGGAAGTCAGCTTTTAGCCTAAAAGTACCCGAGTCACGTGTGCCTTCAATCACACACGACAGCTCAGTAAAGAAGGAAGGACGAGCACCCACACGCCCAACAAAGCGGAAGCCGAGAGAGAATGATGTCAGCTGCCCTCACCTCTGGTTTGGATCATTTTGATGACATTGCCCACATACTCGTACAGGATGACCAGGTTGCACTGAGCAATGTCAATGCCTTCGTCAGCGACCGAGGTAGCAATCAGGATGTTGTTATCTCCACTGGCTCGGAACGCTTCCAGCGCACACTTCTGTGCCGGGAGTGTCATTCCTGCGTTGGGTAAAGAGGTCACTGTACAACTCGCTTGTGAAAGAGTTAAGCTCTTGGAAAATCAGCTATTAATGAGGAACCACTTAGAAGTGGAAAGTTATTTTTACCTTGAAAAACAACAACAAAAAAGCACACAGTATATCAGATGTCACCTATCTTGGACCTCACCGTTCACACGAACCCTATGACCTCATCCCAATTACTGTTTTTTCCATTTGGCAGATGAAGAAAATATGGTATAGAAGTTATAACATGTTTTACAACCTAGGAAATAAAAATGCTAAAGATAAGGGAATTTGAAAATGTTCAGATAGCAAACAACCTGTAGTTTTTTTTTTCTAGTTCACATTTTGGGGGATGGAGAGATGGCTTAGTGGTTAAGAGCACCTAGAAGACCCAGGTCCAATTCCTAGCACCCACATGGCAGCTTACAAGTGTCTGCAAGTCCAGTTCCAGGGAATTCAACACACTCACACAGACATACATGAAGGCAAACACTAATGCATATAAAATTTTTTTAAAGTTTACATTTTTTTCTGTATTAGCTATGAAACAAGAAGGAACCATTCAGAAAACATCTTAGTCATCTTAGCCCATTCATTCATTCATCTAACACTCAGTCAGCAATTATGGACTATGGTTTGTCAGATAAGAATATGATGGCTAAAGATGACATTTTTATCTATAAGAATAATAAGCAGGAAGCCACGGCGAAGGACGTGGGGTGAGACCCGAAAGATGAGAATGAGGGAGGTCGGCTCAGGTGCCAGAGGATAAAGATGGTTACTTGGTAGAAGCAGGGCACTGAGTATGGTCTAAATACATGATGGAAAGATGAATGGATATATCAATGGAAGAAGGGAAGGAAGGCAAGGGCAGAAGGAAAGAGGGAGGGCAGAAGGGAGGGAAGGAGGGAAAGAGGCAGAAAGGAAGGACCCATCCATGCATGCATGTATGAACAAATAAGAACATATTATCTGTCTATTTGTATGTCAGTCACAAAGTTTGAAAGTCAAGTTGGATTCACGTTGGAGAGATGGCAGAGCACTTTGAAATTCAGTCACGTTAGGGTAGCATCAGACTTGAAAGCCACACTTTGAAAACTTGAATCCGTCCTACATGTAAGAGGTCTGGAGATTCCATGTGGGAAAAGTATCAGAACAATGACTGAGAACCAAGAGAGCAGGGGTGGAGACTTGTTTAGTCTACACAACCCTGGCAGGAAGAACAGGGTGAGGGCATGTCATCCAGCATGAGACCTTCTGGGAGTCGGGCCAACGCTGTGCCGAGGACTAGCAACGCAGGCTTCTTCCAGGTAACGATGGCCTCCCACTCGGTGACCACACTAACTAGAGTTCACGATGGCCTGGACTGCTGGTAATCTATAAAATATGCAGTCGATAGAAGAAAATCTACCGTGTGAAGAATAACAATGTAATAGGTCTGGAATAGCTTTATTTCCAGAATTTGAAGAGAGGGATCAGCTTAAAGAGTGCCTGAAAAGCAACTGTGGTTTTATCTGCAGGACACAAAAGGAAATAACTTCCTGCATGGAACTAGACTAGTGTAGCTTTTGTTTGGTTGGTTGTTTTGTTTTATTTTTCTTTTCTTTTTATTTTTTTTAATTGATTTCATTGAGCTCTACATTTTTCTCTACTTCTCTCCCTGCCTCTCCCCTCCCCTTCAACCTTCTCCCATGGTCCCCATACTCCCAGTTTACTCAGGAGATCTTGTCTTTTTTTCCTTCCCATGTAGATTAGATCCATGTATGTCTCTCTTAGGGTCCTCATTGTTGTCAAGGCTCTCTGGTCTTGTGAATTGTAGGCTGGTTTTCTTTGCTTGATGTCTAAAATGCACTTATGAGTGATTACATATGACATTTGTCTTTCTGAGTCTGGGTTGCCTCACTCAATATGATGTTTTCTAGCTCCATTCATTTGCCTGCAAATTTCAAGATGTCATTATTTTTTCTGTTATGTAGTACTCCATTGTGTAAATGTACCGATTTTCCTTATCCATTATTTGGTTGAGAGGCATTTAGGTTGTTTCCAGGTTCTGGCTATGACAAACAATGCTGCTATGAACATAGTTGAGCACATGTCCTTGTGGCACAATTGAGAATCCTTTGAGTATATACCCAAAAATGGTATTGCTGGAACTTGAGGAAGATTGTTTCCTAATTTTCTGAGAAATCGCCATACTGACATCCAAAGGGATTGTACCATCTTGCACTCCCACCAGCAATGCAGAAGTGTTCCCTTTTCCCCACAACCTCTCCAGCATAAGTTGTCATCAGTGTTTTTTTTAATTTATTTATTTTATTTATTATGTATACAATATTCTGTGTGCGTGTATGCCTGCAGGCCAGAAGAGGGCACTAGACCCCATTACAGATGGTTGTGAGCCACCATGTGGTTGCTGGGAATTGAACTCAGGACCTTTGGAGGAGCAGGTAATGCTCTTAACCTCTGAGCTATCTCTCCAGCCCTGTCATCAGTGTTTTTGATCTTGGCCATTCTTACAGGTGTAGGATGGAATCTCAGAGTTGTTTTGACTTGTATTTCTCTGATGGCTAAGGATGTTGAGCATTTCCTTAAGTGTCCTTCAGCCATTTTAGATTACTCTGTTGAGAGTTCTCTATTTAGATATATACTCCATTTTTTTTATTAGATCATCTGTTCTTTTGATGACCAATTTCTTAAGTTCTTTGTATATTTTGGAGATCAGCCCTCTGTCTGATGTGGGGTTAGTGAAGATCTTTTCCCATTCTGTAGGCTGCCGTTTTGTCTTGTTGACCATGTCCTTTGCTTTAGAGAAGCTTTTCAGTTTCAGGAGGTTCTACTTATTAATTGCTTCTCTCGGTGTCTGTGCTACTGGGGTTATATTTAGGAAGTGGTCTCCTGTGCCAATGTGTTCAAGTGTACTTCCCAATTTCTCTTTTGTGAGGTTCAGTGTGGTTGGCTTTATGTTGAGGTCTTTGACCCATTTGAACTTGAGTTTTTTGCATGGTGATAGAAATAGATCTTTTTTATTCTTCTAAATGTTGATATCTAGTTATGCCAGCACCACTTGTTAAATAGGCTTTTTTTTTTCCATTTGATAGTTGGGACGTGTGCTGGCTTTTTGAGGCACTGACTGGGTCAGGCAGAGCTACGGCTGCAGCTGTTCGTGTAGCCGCTGCTGTGAAGGAATCCTGCAGACGTGGTTCAGACCCCTAATCAGTTGACGCTGAGTTAAATTGGTTTAATAAAAAGTGAGTTCACCTAAGTGGGCCTGACTTATTCTCATGACCTTTTAAACAAGGGCTTAGGCCTTCCCTGACCCCAGAGACTTGAACAATTCATGTGCTGGGGGTTCCCGGCTATTCTTGGTCTCCTCCTCCTGACTAACTGCCCCGCAGGTTTCAGGTTTGCCACTCCAGCCTAACCGTGTGTCCATTTTCAGGAAATCTCTGTGTACAGACATAAATACACATTCATACCATAAACTTATGTGTAATCTAGTAGCTTTGCCTCTCTGGTTCAATGCTGACTGATATAATCACAAAATAATGAAACATAGTATACATTTTATACACATACTATACTAAATCTACTTCACTGTTCATAAATACCTGTTGCCTGGTTTGTTTTGCCACGTCCAGTCAATATGCCAGGCTGTAGAAAGCTGAGTGCAGGATTTTCTTCAATCCATTTCTTTAAAGCCTGAAAGTGAGAAGCAATGACCAGTTGGATACTACTTGTAAAGACTGAACCTTGTATTAATTCAGTATTGTGTGTATATGCATGTAATTACAATATATATGTGTGTATATAATATACATACACAAAATACTATATATGTGTGTATGTATGTATGTATTATAAGGCCGAACATACAGATAGATTTCAGACTAAGTCCCAAACAATAACGAATTCTAGTGGTCTAGATCTCTATGGTTCATTATGGCTTAATTTGTAAGATGTTTGAAATGATTAAAAAGACAAGGTTCAGAACAATGGTACACAGAATAAGTGGATTTAGCAAGACTTTGAGAGGCAAGATCGATATGTATGAATCAATTGCATGGTTATATATCAGCAGCAGACAACTGCAATTTGAAAAATCTGTGTGTTACGTGTGGGTATACATGGCTGATCATGTTTGGGAGTGTGGAGGATTGGGTCAACCTTAGGTGTCATTCTTTAAGAGCCACCCACCTTAGTTCATTTTGAGACTGAGTAACTCCTTGGGGATTGCCAAGTGGGCTAACCTAGCTGGCCAGCCAGCCCAGGGTCTGCTTATCTCTCCTCCCCAGCGCTGGGATCACGAGTGGGCACTGCCACGCTCAGCTCTTCTGTGTGGGTGCTGGGAATTGCATCCACGTCCTGATCCTGCACTTCCAATGCTTCACTCACTGAGCTATCTTCCCAGCCCACAATGTGAATTTGTTTTGTTTTGTTTTGGAGACAGGGCTTCTCTGTGTAGCTCTGGCTGTCCTGGAACTCACTCTGTAGACCAGGCTGGCCTCAAACTCACAGAGATCCTCCTGCCTCTGCCTCTCGAGTGTTGAGATTAAAAGTGTGTGCTACCACTGCCTGGCTAATGTGAAACATTTTAAAGTACGATTTCTCAATCGCATCACTAAAACTATCATCTAGGTGCGACTCTAAGAAAACTATGCATGACCTCTATACCAAAAATGACAAAACACTAATAAAACACAGCAAAGGGGACTGCAGAGATGGCTCAGGGGTTAAGAGCACTGACTGCTCTTCCAGAGGACCCAGGTTCAATTCCCAGCACCTATATGGCAGCTCACACCTGTCGGTTCACTGCAGTTCCAGAGAATTATCATGCCCCTTTCTGGTGTTTGTGGGTACTGCATGCAAAATACTAATACACATGCAGGTAAAACACCCACATGCATTAAAAAACAAAACAGACTAGAAATGTTCAGTGTTCAGAGACACTATAAAAATAACTAAGTCAGGCAGTGGTGCACACCTTTAATCCCAGCACTCGGGAGGCAGAGGCAGGAGCATCTCTGAGCTCGAAGCCTACTTGGTCCAAGAGCAAGTCCTAGAACAGCCAGAGATAGACCACACAGAGAAACCCTGTCAAAAAAAAAAAAAAAAAAAAAAAAACCTAAAAAGCAGGCAGAAAACACTTCAAATCTCCTGTTTCCCAGAGGACTTTCTTTGGTCATCCTACAAAAAGAATCTTAAGAAACTTAACAATAAGGCAGCAACCTATTGTTTCCCAGAACTGGGGCTAACACTACTCACGCAGGCTAGATGAGTGCTCAACCACTGAGCTCCAGCCCAAAACCTCAACTTTGGCACTGGTTGTAAAATCTGAATAAGCATTTTAAAGGTGATGATCTCAAGACAAATTTCTAAAGCATTTAAGATGTCCAAGCATATTAGTTACTAATTAAATGTAAATCAAAACCTACAGGATGGCTGGAAGTGAACATTTTAATGGGAAGGTCTTAAAAAAGATGAGGTTGGGGGCTGGAGAGATGGCTCAGTGGTTAAGAGCACTGGCTGTTCTTTCAGAGGTCCTGAGTTCAATTCCCAGCAACTACATGGTAGCTCACAACCATCTGTAATGAGATCTGGTGCCCTCTTCTGGCATGTGTGCATACATGGAGGCAGAATGTTGTATACATAATAAACAAATAAATCTTTTTTTAAAAAAAAAAAGATGAGGTTTTTACTCTATAGTGCTAAGACTTACGACTATGGGTAAATAAATCAAGGAGGTATTAGTATAAAGATAAACAATCAGAACAGGCTCACACAGGTGTGGATACTTGATTACAGGGTAGTGAAGAAAGGACAACCTTGTCAATAAAGTAGACACACACACACACACACACACACACACACACACACGAGGCTTACATCCACAAGTGCTCTGGTTTTCACGAAAAGAATGGTTTTGGTCTCCGGCTTTAGGTGGTACTCTTCTTGTAAGATCAGGTAGAGGTCTCTGAGTTTAGGATTCTCGTTGCTGGGATCCGTGGAAATTTTTTCTAGTTCCTCCAGCTTTTCTGCAAATGGGGAGCATTTTGCAAAACGCTTTAGAACTGTGGCCTTCCATTTCAAACGGCTAACCTCTCCATTGTTAGCCAGACATCTGAGAAGTAAGCCCTAACCTCAACTGGTGTACCCCTTTAGGAAAGGAGTTTAGCAATACAAAGCTCACACATTCTTTGGCTCAGTAATCTACAACTAGGGATTTGACTTGCAGTTCTGTTTAGAAAGCTGTGGAGAAGATTCCGAGGACAATCACTGAGACTGCCAAAACCATGAAAGAAATACAGAAAATAACCCAACCACTGAGTAACTGAGAAACTGCTCCGCCAGGTCCTAGGCTACCCAGCTGATGGAAGTACAAGGCTGCCGTTAAAAGTATGAACCTGCCAATGTGGAAAGATCAAAAGAGATATATATTTTTATTTGTTTTTTTGTTTATTTGTTAGTTTGTTTTTTGAATCAGGGTTTCTTTATGCAGCCCTGTCTGTCCTGGAACTTGCTCTGTAGACCAGACTGGCCTCGAACTCACAGAGATCCACCTGCCTCTGCCTCCCAAATGCTGGGATTAAAGGAGGCTTTCAAAAGGATATTTTAAGTTAAAAACTGGAATACAGGATATCTTGTCATTTAAAAAATGTATGGTATACTAGGGTCAGATCAAACCAGATTATGATGGTCATTGTTAAGTTCTTAAAAATAACCTTAAAAATTCAATTCTATATCCTTGCAGCTCAATGGCTTATACTAAAGACAAATACTACAAATAGACCTGGTTATTAATTTCATAATTCGTTTTATCACACTTTACTATGAGTTAGCGTTTGAGTTATTGTGTATGTATGTATCTGTAGTGTGTGTGGGGTGGCATTGTTAGTGTGTGTTACTGTTCAGTTTTACACAAGTTCAATGTGACATTGGTGGTGGGAAACTGAGCATAGTAGAAGCCCTTACACATGGAAATGAAGATAACACTTGTTTCATCCTTTGTTGGCAGTCCAGACTTTGTAAAACGCTAAGTATATAATGCAGGTTAAATTTAGCTGCTACTTATGAGTCAAGTCAAAAGGCAGCAATAGACTCCCTGTGTTTGACAACTGTTACCTAGTTCAGAAGAAAAGCCACTCACTGCACTGAGAAGTCAGCGAGGCTCCAGCATGTCTCTGTTGTCTCACTAGGCCTTACTCCTAGCGTTAATAGAAAACAGACCTGGCATCCATATCAGAACTAAATCAATTTGGGGAACGCCATCTCTGGTTGGCTATAGATACAAGGGTCCTGCCAAGACCACCAAAAGCATTCCATGAGCCACAAATGGCTAATTCTTCTTTACAATGAAGAATTTCGTGTTTGTCATTTGTAAGTTCTGTGTGACACTATCCCCCATATCAGTAAAACTTATAGTAAATAGTCATGTGTACATTTTCCCTCATATAACTGACTGTATGTTTATCAACACAGCACACCAGTAGCAATGTATATGTATAGTAAATAATTTAATACAGACAAAAAAGTTACTAGTAGAGATTGCTACTCAATAGAAATGTTCCATTTACTATGTTCCTATGTTTGGAGTATAATGTAAGGGCAGTAGGGGTATTTTTTCTCATTATTGGAAGTATACATAATACTTCCAATACAGTGGTTCACACCTTTAATCCCAGCACTTGGGAGGTAGAGACGAGCAGATCTCTTTGAGTTCGAGGCTAGCCTGGTTGACAGAGTGAGTTCTAGGATAGCCAGGGCTACACAGAGAAACCCTGCCTCAAAAAAAAAAAAAACAAAGAAATACCCATAAAGCATAGTTTTCTTAACATCATTAGAACACATGTTGGTGTTATTAAACATTTTTAAATTACTGCGTTGGACAGAATACCACTACTTATTAACTCTGAGAAGCAGCTTTTCCAATTCCCACTGTTTTCCCTTTTCTCAAAATTAAAGGTGTATCCATAGGTATTAGATTTTTCTGAAGCTAAACCCTCCTGGTTTTTTGTTTGTTTGTTTGTTTGGTTGGTTGGTTGGTTATGTTGACTTTAAGGTTTTTGCTTTCTTTTGTTTGTGGTGCTGGGGTTTCAGCCATGCTAAGGTCATGCTCCATCACAGCCACTATCATGTCCCATCTTAAACCCAGCACAACGGCATCAGCGAATAAATGTACACTAAGTATAACGTGCACGCTGCCAATCAAGCCCCCAGCCTCCAGTGACGACTTCCGAGTCACCCTCACCTTCAAACCTCCGCGTAAGATCTTGCTCAGTCTCATCAAATGCTGCTTCTTTGACATCACGGAAGAAGGCTTTGAGGTAATTAAGAGCATCTTTCATCTGGGCATCCTCACTGATGATGAGAGCATCATTGTATTTCTGTTTCAAATGAAAGGTCAGTCTCAGTACACTTCCAACTCCTCATGTCTCCTACACTGAAGTTCAACTGGCTGTACTGAGATCAAAACCAGTTTCAAGAAAATCTTTCTCATATTGCACAGCTGAGATTTAAGAGGTGAATAGACCTTAGTGGGTCTGTGATAAAAACCTCTGAACTGAAAGCTGGTTTCCTTCTTTGTTCCAGTTAGCTAGAAACATTAATTAAGTAGATTCACTTCATATGGTAAAATTCCACCTTGGGAGAGGAACAGCAATGTATCATAAAAAGCAATAATAAAAGCAAGTCAGCTTTGACATCCTCCTGCATTGTGGTGCTGACATTCCCCTTAAATTCCAAAGTCATAGCTAAGTACCCATGGGCCTTTCAGAATGAAGGCCCTTACCACCAACTCTGAAAGTCTATTAAGCCTTAAAATTCCGCGAACACCTGCTACGAAGCAGGTCTCTAAATATTTCCCACCGTGTTAACAACAGAGTGGCAGTTGTACTGCTAGTCCCTTCTTCTGTGTTAACCAGAGTCCGAGTGTTCTAAGTATGTGGCTTTAACAAACTAAGACCATACAGGCTTCAGGATGGGGCAACAGGAGCCACGTCTTGAACTCACAGATGGCGGTTACCAGTCACCAATCTAGAGCACTAGGGTTTTAGCATCACCCAATTTTCTCCAACCATATAAACAAGGCAAAGCTGGAGGCTCGACACAGACTCTGAGCCTCTCTTCCAGTCTTGTAGACTCGCTGTTAAGTCTCAGAATACAAATGAGGTTGGGGACGACTTCCTGGGGAGTTTTTAATTCGGCCAGGATGAGAAGCTAATGTTCTCTCAGCTGCCACAGGGCAGGTCCCAGGAGGGGCAGGGACCGGAGCATGTCACTCACAGCAGCAACCTACCCGCAAATGGGACGTGTACAGAAAGAGCGCTCTGCAAATGCTGCTCTCCTTCTCCTTGTCTGGCAGCTGAAACACCATGCACGCTTTGTGAACTGCAACGATCCACTGTTCGTATCTCTGCGTGCCAAATTCTCGGTTTTGAATCTGAAATAATTTTCCTAGCAGGCGAAACAAACAAAAACAAATGGTTTTCAAGCATTGGTGCTAACAAGCTTCATCTTCTAATTTTCTTTCTTATCTATTATAAATAGGATATTTATCCTGAAGAAGACTGTGTGCGTGTATGTGTAAATAAAATGATTTACTAAATGACCCCAAATCAAAGTGCTTTACATCTATAATTGCATATTTTTTTTCTAATTTCAAGAGGTCAATAGTTCATTTAAAAAAAAAAAAAGGAACTGGGTTCGGAAAGACTGAGCATCTCACCTTGAGTTAGCACAGACTTACCGAGTTCCTCGGAGACATTCTTTGCCAGTTCCTCTGTCTCCTTCATCAGCTGAGCTAAGATGGACTTAAATGTGTTGGTAGTCCGTGACTCCACCTTTCTGAAAACTAGAGTCAAAGGAACACGACTCGTTTGAAAGAAGCACAGGTCAAATGCTGCCATTTCCAAACCCTCTTCAGCCCTTGTGATGCTCTCCGGAAAGCCACAGGCTCCACACCCACTAGTAAGTGGCCCAAATCCCAGCAAATGCTCAAAGTCTTGAAACAGCCTCACGTTGCTTCCTGCGCCAGCCTAATGTCTCCCCTGCCTCCGTGTAACCCAGTCTCTCAGCCTAGCTTTACTGGAACCTCTACTCTGACCATCTGGCTGCCCTCGGGGTTCTGCAGGCACCACACTCCAGCCCCATTTTCCTGCTTTCCTATTCTCTTTCTCTACACCTTCTGCCCCTTCCCGAGAGTGTCCTCATTGGTCTTACTATTCACACTTGTGTACTTCCGGCAGAAAATGAATCGCCTGTCACATGCCATGCTCCGGCAATAGAGGACTGGCAAGAACTACCAAATGCTACGCGGAAGGCTGGTTCTTGGAGGGAAGAAAGTCGTGCTCCGAAACTCAGCCATCCGAGCCCTGCAGTACAGGTGGAGGCAAGGCGCCAGGGAGTGAGGGGAATGCAAGTCAGTCTTCCCTGGGGAGGCTGAGATAAAATTAGCAGGGGAGGAGAAAGGCAGGAGAAGGAGCAGCGGTGCAGAGAGCACAGCTGGGACACAGGCTCAGGATAACACGAGCAGAGTTTGCAGAGCCAGGGAAAGCAACACAGCCTTTGCAAGACTTGGAAGCAGATGAAGTTCAAAGGCAGAGTGATACTTTATTTATGCCTTATGAATAAAGCTTGCCTAAAGACCAAAAGGTAAAACTAAGCTGCTAGAGGCCGGGCAGGGGTGGCACACATCTTTAATCCCAGGATTTGGGAGACAGAGGCAGATGGATCTCTGTGAGTTCGAGGCCACCCTGGGCTACACAGGATCAAGGCAGAAACAGATCAAGGTGGTGGTGCATGTCCAGCACTAGAGAGGAACAGAAAGTGGGATGAGATGGAAACTCGCTCTCTTTCTAAGGAAATCTTAGTGTTAAGACCTCTCTAGTGACTTGACTGCTTTGCTTTTCTGATCTTCAGGTTGAACCCCAATATCTGTCTCTGGGTTTTTATTATTTGTGCTACACAAACGGCTCAAACATGGGTGGGGTGGGAGGCACCTTCTTCACAGTGTCCATGGGGAACACTCAGAAATAAACAGAGCTGGGCCCTCCCGTTCCACTACAGGCTCACATGAAGCCATGTGTCACTGCTGCCCCTCCCTGCTCACATGGCTAGTTAAACGCTAATAATCTGCGAGTGAATCTCAGTTTTTAAAACCTGTTCTGGCCTTTTGGTGAGAGCTATTATGATTTAGTTCATTTCAACTACAGTTATCAGATACATACAGGAACAAGATGACCCCATAGTATCTAGCTAGGGCATGGAGCACAGAGGCCTGACCCAGCCACTAGCTATCAACACACTTAAATTTTCTCACCACCCCCTTCGCTCTCTTGCTGGTGCTTGTTTAAGGGTTTTGGAGACAAAGAGCAGGGATGCTGGTCCCTTTCAGGCTACTTTTGAGACTCAGGAGGAGAGGTCAATTAGGGAGAAAGACAGGAAACACGCCTATTCCTAAAGTGTGGGGTTAAAATGCCTCTGCCAAACAAATACAACATCAGAGTTCATCCACTGTCTCTGAAGGAGGAGGAGCAGAGTCACAGATTCCCGAGGGGTGTGTTCTGAGTCCCACTTACATTTCTGGGGTTTATAAACAACCTGCTCCAGTTCCTCCACGTTGTCTCTGACCGTGGCGATCACGGACGTGTCAAGGGCGGCGCAGAGTTTGCAGATATGCAGCACGGCTTCCCGTACGGTTTTGGCGTCTCCGACACCCACCGAGGCAGTCAGCCCGACGACCTGTAAGGAGCATCCCCATCAGTGGCTCTCGAACGTTCTCCAGGATGTTGTGAGCAGAAGGGCCCCGAAGTGAAGCACTAACCAAATCTCATCATCCAGACACTAACGAGAGTAAGAGCGAGAGGAAGCCTTCTCCAGACAGGACTACTCTTTCCTTTCTCCCCGTGTCTCCTACTGAGGAGGAGACACATCACGACGGGAATGAAAAGGAATGACGTGTCCGTTCCAGTCACATACATGGCCATTCATTTTGTGTGCTTTGACAAGTGCCTTCAACATTCAGTGAAGGGGAAGCGGCCATGGAAAACGAGAGCTGTGTAGATCCAGTGAGACGGCATCCTTCAGCCATAGCTCGATATTACTGAATGATTAACTCACCAGTGAGGCGGCGTCCTTCAGCCATAGCTCGACATGACTGAATGATTAACTCACCGGTGAGGCACCTGTTTACCACCAACATTACTTGAAAAGAACGAGCTGTGGGTACCACACTAAATGTCCTTCAACCTGTACACCCGAAATGGGCAATTACTGGAGCAAAAGAACTGCATACAATTCATGGTTTACAGCCTCGCTCGGGCCCCTGATATTATACCATGACTCTTTATTATACCCATCTCGGTTCCCATCCACGGTTTCAGATCTTCCTATCCTCTCCAAATCCCTCTCCCATATCTACATTGATGCTTTTTAGCAAAGCACCTGCCTCTCCTCTAATGGAGAAGAAGGAGAATGTATGTACAAGACTCCTTTCCTGTCCCATCTAAGAATAACCTTCTGGAGCTGACTGAGAAGCCAAGGACAATGGCACTGGGTTTTGATTCTACTACATGTACTGTCTTTTTGGGAGCCTAGTCTGTTTGGATGCTCACCTTCCTAGACCTGGATGGAGGGGGTAGGACTTCCCACAGGGCAGGGAACCCTGACTGCTCTTAGGACTGGAGAGGAAGGGGGAGGGCGGAGGGGAGGAGGTGGAAATTTTCAACAAATAAAAAAAGAAGAATGACCCTCTGGAGTGATTGTTGTCATGTGACATGGGACAGGGTGCTGCTTGTTTTCTGGGTTCAGCCATAGACCCGCCCACCGATGCTCTGCCTTCCAGATGTCTCCAGGGGCATCTGCCATAACCATCAACTTTACCAGCTGTCCCCCTTTCCCGTTCTGCCTCATCCGCTGCTGTTCCTTACCTCACACTCAAGTGACACGGTAGGGTTCTAGGATTTTGGAGCATGCCAGGCTCTTTCATACCTCGGTGCCTCTGGACACACAGAACCCTCGTACTGAAAATCACGAAGCCATCTCCCTGGAAAACTCCTCTTAGCTCCCCACTTCTCTATTAGGTCTTGCCTTGCTTTTATTCGCTTTCTGACTATACCCTTTCCCCATCTCAGCAGCAAACCTCGTGATGAGCTGTGTTATAACTCCTATGTAGCTGGCTCCCTGCAAACTCAACTGTATGAGAGCCAGCATTATATCTTCTGTAGCAGTGTCCCCAGGGCCTAAAAGAATGCTCAAGGTACATGGAAGCCCATGATTCACACAGGTGACCCTCAAATCCAGATGTTAGACATCTGTGAATTCACACAACCATGGATCAAAAAATATGTTTTAACTTCCCAAGTCCTAAACACGTATAAATGTTCCCACCTTCATTCCCTAAGCAATACAAGAACTATTGATATAAAATTTGCATTTTACTGTACAACATTAGTAATCTAGAGATTATTTAAAGTATGCAGGAGGAAAGTGTGTAGATATAAATGCAATGTCATCTCAGACAAGAGACTTAAGCAGCCTCGGTTTTGGCTTCTGTGAAGGGTTTCCACCCTGGATACCAAGGACAACTGTTTGTCAAATGAATGAACCAAAACTAGACAATGCGTTGCTAGACCTAGAATGTGAGGAGGATGACCTCAAATGTGGCTACAAGAGTAACTCAGTGGGATTCTGGTCAGCTAGGGCTGCTCTGAGACGTCACCTGACTGGAAATACCTGAGGCAGTGGGCCTGGCGACCCTCCGAGTTTGTGATCTAGGTATCGGAACATGATCTGATTGTACGGGTGGTTTTTACTGGTGTTATGGCATTCATCAAAGATCATCAAGGTGAAGACAGACAGTGAGGGGATGGTTCCATCGTTGAGACTGTTCACAAGAATCTGGGGTGTGAGGATGATGATGTCTTTGTTCTCGATAATGTCCTTCACTGAGACATTATCAGCCGTTGCCCCAGAAACGCCCGCTACGCTGTACCTGGGAAATGACAGAAATCCCTTATTACCAACTGCAATGTGAACAAGGAAACAAAGGTGAAATGCCAGATCTGAGCAACAGTTAACGAAGCTCCCCCTAAGCCCAAAAGAATACAACCGGGGAGTAGTTTAAGATATCACTCAAACCTGACAAAAAGCCAGCAATCAGGAAATGCAAGTTGGTTATAAATGACCACAGTATACTTATTCTTTCAAGTCATTAGGAGACGAAAAAATTCTTCAAAGAGTAATGTCAAATGAAGTATAAAATCATTAAGAATGACTGGTGTATCATCTAAATATTAACCTCAGCCGCAAAGTCATTCACTCTGCAGAGCAACCCATGAGCGCTTAGCTCTTCTGGTGGAGCTGAATGAAAAATATTATTCCAAAGAGGAGTTACCTCTAAAACCTAAGTCTATGGTAATTTTCTCTAAATCATATCTTTTAAAAGCACAGAACAGGGGATGGAGAGATGGCTCTGTGACTAAGAGCACTGGCCATTCTTCCCAGAGGACCTGGGCTCAATTTACAGCACCCACATGGCAACTAACAACTGTCTGTAACTCCAGTTCCAGGGTATTCAACACTCTCACACAGACATACAGGCAGGCAAAACACCGATCCACGTAAAATAAAATAATAAATTATTTAAGGAACAACACAAAACAACTAGGCATGTCAGTGTACACCATGACACTGTGACCCCAGCACTCAGAAGGTAGACGCAAGAAAATCATAGCTATTCTAGGCCAACCTGAGCTACATAGTGAGTTGGACAGCTCTGGCTACATGAAACCCTGTCTCAGAAAAGAGCAAAAAAAGCAAACAAAGAAAAAAGAAAAACCCAAATGAAACAAAGTATATTCATTGTATGAAGCTAGAATTTTTTTTAAAAAAAAAAGAAAAAAGCAGTTAAACTGATTATAATACATACCCAAGTCTTTCAAAATAGCGTGAGAACACAGTTGCCTGCTGTTCATACACAGGAATTTGATTAGCAAAAAAGACCACTTTCCCTTTTCGTCCATGTGGTGATGTTTTCAGATGATGCTCACATATAAGAAGTGACACAAAGGTTTTCCCACAACCTTTTAGTATGGAAGGAAAAGGAAACAGATAACTAATGTTAGACGCTTCTCTAGAATGTACTTATTTTCCACTACTCTATCATTGTTGGGACAGATAAACTAATTAGTTGGTGTGGGGAGTCCTTCTGTATATGTGTTGCTTTTATTGGTTAATGAATAAAGAAGCTGCTTTGGCCTGTGATAGGACAAAGTAGAGCTGGGGGTGTTGGGGGGACACTAAATTGAATGCTGGGAGAAAGAAAGCAGAGTTGTGAGAAGCCATGTAGTAAGTCATAGCCATGTGGCGATACACAGATTAATAGAAATGGGTTAACCAAAGATGTAAGAGCTAGCTGGCAATACATTTAAGTGATTAGCCAAACAGTGATTTAAATAATATAGTTTCTGTGTGATTATTTCGTGATCTAGGCAGCCGGGAACGAACAAGCAGCTTCCACCAACAATCAGCCATCTGCAGGGACAGCAGCAGTTTAAACTATGGCTGAAAACTATCAAGCTATTTCCTAGGTAGCATGAACTCAAACAGCAAGAACCAGAAGTAAACTAAGAAGGCATTTCTCTTGCTTTTGTCCATGTTGTTTAAAAAGATACATTGTGTTGATAGGTCAGCTTTCACAATGGCAAATGCAACGGGGAAAAACTTGAACTTTTTCATTTTATCACAGAACCCAAAAATAGAAGAAAAAGCTAAGAGAAAATTGCATAAGTTACCACAACTGACTCACCAGTAGGAGCACATATTATTGTATTTTTCCCTTTCTCAGCAGGCAGAGCAAGCTCCAGTTGGTAATTTCTTGGTTTCAACGGACCATTAAAATTATTAGAAGATGCTTCTACAATATAGAAGGAACAAAGTTACCAAACAGCCAGTGTTCTATCTGTCATTCAGTGGACGTGAGTTTGGACTCTAGCAACAAGGGCCCCATTTAGGAGGTTTGGAATCCAGCCTCTTAATAACTGTCCCACTTCCCCCCATTGGTTTGACACATACACCTGTCTCTCAGTGATAAAGTATCAATAACAAGGAAACAGGAAAGGCCAAAGTGGATTCTTTCTAAAGCATGGAAACTTAATTAAGGAAAAAAGAAAGCAAGAATGGTCTAATCCAAAGCAAAGCTACTCAGAACAAAGAAACAACAGATCCCCAAAGACAGCTGAGAAGAACCAGGCTATTGACATCAGGTTCTCAAAGCAATGCTAGCAAGGAGAAACCACGCTGTATGTTCCTCCAGATCCCAGATGGATCAGCACAGCCGGGAGGTTTAATGATCTGAGGCTTTATCTCAGAAACAGGTCAGCGTACAAAATGTCAAGAGACATAACAGCCTGAAATCGCCTTATGTGTCTAACCTTCCCACTGTAAAGAAGGAGCCATTTGCTAGGCGATGGCGGCTCACACCTTTAAACCCAGCACTCAGGAGGCAGAGGCAGGTGGATCTCTGTGAGTTTGAAGCCGGCCTGGACTAATGTGAGTTCCAGGACAGCAGGACTATTTCACAGAGAAGCCCTGTCTCGGGAGGGAGATAAAAAGTAAAGAGTGAATGAGACTTTTTAGAAGGTTGAGAAAAATCAGCATTGCTTAAGACACGTATGGATCATTGCATGTCTGAAACATTTAAAACAACCCATACTGTATCACTCTGGCATGACAGAAACCTTGCTTCATTCAGTTGTTGATTCCATTTGTACGGTATCTTTTTTATATTGTTCTAAAAAATTATAATGTCCTTTTAACACTATTCATTATTCATCTTATTGCCTTCCTGATACATTTTGTTATAAATATGCTTCTTTCTGGTCTCTTTATGATATTTAAAGGAGCATTAGAGGCCTTATCCAGCCAGAGGCAACTTTCATGGCACCATGTGTATGAGAATGAGTTGATTCGAGCCCTCCACACAGATGCCGGCAAACAGAGGGCACACAGCGCGCTCATCCACATGTGTGACAGCCCTGAGATCCGGGCAGGACACTAAGCAAGTGACTCATAAACAGAGGTATTGTTCTAGAGCACAAGGCTACTTTGGGATGTCACAGACACTGAAGTTCTGGGATCACCATAGTCATCAGAGGACATACACTGGACATATACTCTCAGGGGTAGAATGCAGATAAGATCAGCAGAGGCCACAAAAGACAGGAACAGTGGTTCTAATTATGAAATCACTATTGCCAAACAAATTCCCTTTCCTTTCCTAATGATCCTTTTAAAAAAATAAATAAAAGGATTTTCAAAAGGCATCACATGCTGGAGAAAACCCATTATGGAAAAGAACAAATGATGCCCGGTACCGGAAGGTGCGCAGGGATTCTGAGAACAAACGATGCCCGGTACCGGAAGGTGCGCAAGGAGTCTAAGAACAAACGATGCCCCGGTACCGGAAGGTGCGCAAGGAGTCTAAGAACAAACGATGCCTGGTACCGGAAGGTGGATAGGGATTCTGAGAACACCCGATGCCCGGTACCGGAAGGTGGACAGGGATTCTGAGAACAAACGATGCCCGGTACCGGAAGGTGCGCAGGGATTCTGAGAACACACGATGCCCGGAACCGGAAGTTGGGCAGGGATTCTGAGAACAAACGATGCCTGATACTGGATGGTGGGCAGGGATTCAGAGAACAAACAATGCCCGGTACCTGAAGGTGTGCAGGGATTCTGACTGAGAACCTGGCATTCTGGCTCCTCTTGTATAAAAATCTGTATACTGGACATCTCCATTTCATCATCTTCAATAGCTTTACTTTCGACACTTTTGAAACCTTTGCGAGATTGAAAAAAAAAAAAGCTTAGAATCTTAATGTAATCTGATTATGGTTTTGGTTGTGAAAGCTCCGAAAAGTCCCAACACTAAAAATCTAAATTTCCATTGAGCTTTTACAACCATACCCTTTCACTTTCTTAACAATTTATTTATTTTTAATTCTTTAATTTATTAATGAATTAATTGTGTGTGTCCCTCGGGGCACAGGGAGTATGTGGAAGGTGGAGGATAACTTTTGGGAATTAGTTCTCTCTATCACGTAGGTCCTAGAAGCTGAACTCAGCTCTTCAGGTTTAGTGACAGGAAGGAGCTTCTCTCTGCTGAGCCATCTCAGGGCCCCTTTCATTTCTTAAAGCAACGGGAAGAATTATTTCGAGTTTGAAGCTCAGTTTGGTGTTTGAATGCCACTGTCCTTTAGAACCACGTGACTCCAAGTGTGGACCGTGCCGCTTAGGAGCAATAGGCATGGTGAAGCCCTCCCCACTCTGCACCTTGTGTCAGGAACACTGGCAAGAGATTCATTACTGGGCCCATGAAGGAGACACTCATGGCTTTCGATTCTGGCTAATCCATGTCCAAAGACACAGACAGTTCCTACAAGAATTTATGCTGTAAATAAAACTAGGTGAACACTAAAACTAGAAACTCGGGTATTTATCAAACTCAGATTCAAAGTAAGAGTGAGTTTCCAGAAGCCACATAAGACTGCCTTAATCACAGCAAATTCTTCATCCACTCCTGTTCTGTTGGTTCCAAATGGCTTCCAAACAAAAGAACTAATCACTATCCATTGTCCTTAATATTCAGCCTCTACTCTGGTAAGGAGATAAGTCTTGCAGTTTGAACCATTAGGTCTAGAATTTTCAAGTTATTTCTCTGATAAATTTGGAAGCCCTTATTTTTCCTTCCCCAGAATCTCTGGGCTAGCAAGCTAATTCCCTCCCAGAACTCAGCCTCCTGATGCTCGTTCCCTAGGGATGTAGCCTTGGGAAACTGAAGAGAGCAGTGTCTCTCACGAAAAGTAAATTCTGGGAGAATGTGGCAAGTCCTAGGGAGGATGGTGAGGGGCAGGTATGGTCCAAGGCTCTTTCCTGAAGCACCCCACCTTCAACAATCCACAGTTCACTGAACGTGTTGTTTTCTTTCTCCAAAGCAAATTTCAAAACCTTGGGCCAGTTCTCCTTATCCGATCTGAGAAGACATTCAACCATCTTCTCCGCACCCGCCATCATCCCTTTGGTGAAGCAGATCTGAGCGAGACAAACGCAGCGCACCGTGGGTCAGTTAGCTCTGTCTTCGCTGAAGACATATCTACTCAGGTAACACTTGACCAAAATCACCGTGAAGGCCTTGGTTCACATCATTTTGCCCCACCCAGTCCTAGCTTTTAAGATGTTCTTTCCTTCACCTTTGTCCTTTATATGTGATATCAATACATCAAGCCAAATGTTCTCATCTTCTGAATCCTGACATCCATTACCATCTGCAATCCCAGGGCAAAAAAGCTAACCCGTATGACAGCCATTTACAGAAAGGGTACATCAGCACACAGAGCTATTTGAAAGGCTCCAACTGCGCAGCAATAAATACTTTACAGAGCAGGTATTCTATGACTTTTATGTCTAATGACAACTAAAATGTACTGTGTATATGTTATTGTGCATCAAGCTGACATAAGCATTTTATGTGCATTACCTCATTTTACCCTACCAGCATGTGGCTAAGGTACATTTGTCTTACTTTAGACATGAAAAACCAGATGCTTAGAGAAGCTACAGGAACCGCCCAGGATCGTATCGCTAGTTAAGTGACTGAGAGACGATTATAATAAACGTGTCTATGTCCAAGAGCCTACCATTTCTTTTTTTCAGTCGTTGTTCTGTTCAGTGTGATTTGCATGTGCATAAAACACTATTGGGAGAAAGAGTAACGAGGCAGCTTTAACAGAGAACAGGCTCAACTTCAAATAGCCTAGCAGAAAAATGACCCCATTCACATTAAAAATTCTTTTCTAGTCATTGTATCTTCTAGTTGAGGTCTTTTATGGGTTTCAATTATCCTTTGGGGGCTTAAAATAAGACGGAAAACAGGAGTCATTTCCATGAGTCTCGGCATTTTTCTCTAAATTTGGTCCTTTGCATTAATTTACCTGTCTGATTTCTTCACATTCCTGATTAATCAAGCATTCAGACAATTCAGGAAGGATATCTGTTGGGTTGATTCTGGTCTTAAATTCTGGCTGTAAACGCTGTAGAAGTAATCTGTGTTCCTCCAACTTTTCAAGTTTTTGGAAATCCCAACTTTCGATGGCTTCATAAAGTCCACAGTAACCTGGAAAGAAAGAAAAGTGGGGAGTCCTAAATGAGCCCAACATAAAACGCCTTGACCATCAAAACCATAGGAATTCTGTTTGAATCAATGGTAAGAGACCTCAAATCCATGGTGCCAGAGCCACGTGTTTTTTGCCTTTTATTTCCTCGGGCATTTAGTCACAGTGGTGAAGGTCAACTAATACAGGTATCCATGATTTTCCACAGAGAAATAGCATTTAATTTTGGCACCCAACCATTCAGGTCTTTCCAAATTCATTATCTTTCAGGGTAAAGTCCTAAGGACAGATGTGAAGCCTTGTATTTGACCTTAGTATTAAATCTTCAAAATGTCCCCATGCATGTTAACAACAACCCGCAATTTACTTTTTAAAGATATTTATTTACTTATTTATTTATTTTATGCATGTCTATGTGTACCATGGGTGTGTCTGATGCCTGCAGAGAGCAGAAGAGGGTGCCAAATCCCTGGAACTAGAGTTACAGATGTTTGTGAGCCATCATTTGAGAGCTGGGAACCAAGCCTGGGTCCTCTGCAAGAGCAGCAAATGCTCAGAACCACAGAACCACATTTTCAGTCCCCAATTTACTTTTAAATTCGTCAAATTCATCATTTTTACCTTCTTAGTAGCAAGCAGTAAAAAAGACAAGAGGAAATATGAATCTTACTTCCTGCTCTTGAAGATTCTTTCTTCCACACCATTTCAAGAAAAGATTATGCCAATGGGCAAATCAAGGGGGAAAATGACTTCCAATTAAAGTAACCCAAGAAAGTATAAAAAACCAAGATCTCCTGAGTAAATTGGGGGCATGGGGACCTTGGGGGAGGGTTGAAGAGGGGAGGGGAGAGGCAGGGAGGGGAGCAGAGAAGAATGAAGAGCTCAATAAATATAATAAAAAAGAGAGAGAGAAAAAAAATAGTAACCCAAGAATGTCTCACTCTAAGGTGCCTGGGCAGAATCCCCAGGCTTCCTTGCCTCTAAGACCCATATTTACTTCATTCAGTAGCCTGGGAAGACAATAGGTTTTATTTCTCCATACCCAGGAAACTAACAAAGCAGCTCTGGGACCAGGGAGAAGGTCCAGTAGGTAAAGAGCTCACCACACAAGCATGAGGACCTGAGTTCGATCCCCAGCTCTCTCATGTCAACAGCCAGGTGTAGCAGTGTGGCCCTATAATCCCAACCAGTGTAGCCAAAATGGTTAAACTCCAGGTTCAATGAGAAACCCAGAATCAAAACCTAAGGTGAAAAGCTCCTGAGGAAGACATAAATGTCAACCTCTGACCTACACAAGAGTGCCCTCAGACGTGTACACACACACATAAACATATGCGCGTGTTCATCCCCTACCTTCCCCAACTGACCTCCCCGCTCCCACACACAAAGCAGCTTCACCATGACGAAAAGGAATCCCTGGATGCTGTTAGGACAATCTCAATATGCTATGGCCCCTGCAGTGTCTTTTCACCCTGCCATGAAACATTAGCAAGGGAGGAAAAGAAGTGTGCATAAGCCATATCCAGCAAACACCAGCACTCATGACATATCTGATGCACAGCTACATGACTGAGGCACAGCTACTACATGCCTGACACACAGCTACATGTCTGATGCACAGCTACATGTCTGAGGCACAGCTAC